TTCTTATTGTCTATACATCCTCACTCAGTTACAAACTTGGGGCGGCTCAGCTGTTTCTGATTGCAGCTCCACAAAGACAGCTTCCAACAGTTATACCAAGACATTTTATACTATTTGTAGTTACCATGAAGAGTGTTGTTTCCCTGATTTCTTTCTCAAACCATTTATCATTTGAATACAGGATGGCTACTGATTTTTTTAAAATTTTATTTTGTATCCAGCCACTTTGCTGAAGATGCTTATCAGCTGTAGGAGTTCCCTGGTAGAATTTTTTGGGTCGTTTATGTATACTAACATCATTTACATATAACAGTACCTTTCCAAATTGTATCCCCTTGATCTCCTTTAGTTGTCTTATTCCTCTAGCTGAGCCCAATTGCCATCAGAGAGGTTGCCCCCAGCAATAGGTGGAAACAGATGTAGAGACCCACAACCAAACCTTAGGTGAACATCAGAGAATCCTGTGGAAGAGGGAGAAGAAGGATTGTGGGAGCCAGAGGAGCCAAGGACACAGAATCAACTATTCTGGGCTCATAGGGTCTCACAGAGACTGAACCACCAGCCAGAGAGCTTACACAGGACTGACTTAGGCCCTCTGCACATGTTACAGTGTGTAGCTTGGTTTTCTTGTGGGTCTCCTAACAGTGGGAGCAGGAGCTGTCTCTGACTGTGTTGCCAGCTTTTGGGACCCATTTTTCCTGTTGGGTGGCCTCTTCCAGCTTCAGTAGAAAAGGAGGTGCCGAGTCTTACTGAAAATTGATATAACGTGGCTGACTGATATACATGGGGGCTGCTCTTTCTGAAGAGAAAGGAGGAGGGGTGGAGAAGGGGGAGGGGATGTGGGGGAGAGGTGGAAGGGGAAACTGATCAGGTTGGAAATTAATTAATTAAAATAAATAAAAAAAAGAAGCAGGAAATGGATGTTGGGCGTTTTCCTACCTGCATCATCATCATCATCATCATCATCATCAGAGACAGGATCTCTGCTGTAACCTGATTTGGTTAGCCTGGCTGGCCAGAACTTCTAGGATCCTTTTGTTTTCCCCCTCTGAGTCTGCACCTGCCCCCCCTTTTTTTTTAACATTTATTTTTATATTATGTGAATAGGTGTTCTTTCGTTATGGGCTAGTTGGATCTGAACTCAGGCCTTCATACTTGCCCAGCAAGCATTTTCACCGGCCCTGCCTCAGAGGGTTTTGATGAGGAGAGATAAATGGCCCTGCCATCTGCCCCAGAACTCTGTTTTAGCTCTCCAGCAAGATCTAATTTCTTATTTGCAAAACTCTTTATTCTTTCTTCAGGTGGGTTTGCTTCTTCTTTCCTGGGACATCTGAATTAAACTGTCCACACAAATTTCTCTCTGTTGGGGTTGTGCCTTCTCAGCTGGGTACCCACCCCCCTCGTTTGAGACAGCCCTCTGTGGCTTGTTACATGTCACCCTGAATGTTCTCTGAAAACCTCCTTTGTCCTCGCCAGCCATCCACTTCAGAAGTGCTGGTGTTATTTTGAGGCAGGGTTTGGGATGCCATATAGAATAAAGCTGTGATTGTATTAAAAGCCAGAGGAGGATAAGCAGCTAATACAAACACCAAGAGTGCCTAAGCACTCGCTGTACCAAGGGAGAAAATGGGACAATGCCTTGCTGGCACTGCTTTGTTTCTGAGGACTGAGCCCTCACATGCAGTCCTGACACAATTGCTAGCAAGGTTGACTGGGTTCCTGTTTGGCAAAATTACTAAATTGTGGGGCCCAGAGCTCTGCCTCTTGATAGGTCCCAGGCTAAGTGCCTACCATCCCTTGTAGAAGGGGAGTACCCATGAAACTGGGTCTTGCTCCAAAGGCAGACAATTTATTCTGGGCCAAGTATGTTTAGCCATGTTCAAAGAACATGGGTTGAGAGTACTCAAAATGACATGTCCTGCTGTGGAAATTCATACACCTTCCTCCCTCCCTCTCTCCCTCCCCCTTCCCTTCCTTCCTTCTTTCCTTCCATCCTTCTTTCCTCCCTCCCTCCCTCCCTTTCTCCCTCTTTCCCTCCCTCCCTCCCTCCCTTTTTTGAGACAGGGTTTCACTATGCAGCCCTGGCTGGCCCTGGCCTCACTGTATAGAGCAAGCTGGCCTCCAGGAGACTCACTTGCCTTCCCAGTGCTGGAATTAAAAGCAGGTGTCACTTCATCCTGACTTAGATACATTTTTATAGTCACAGAACAAAAGAAAGTCACAAATCAATATGTTTACCGAATGCCTTTGTGGGGACATCAGTTAGGCAGGCTATAGGAGTGGGGACATCTGTTATCAGCCTCAGATGCTCTATGATGACGGGGTTTTCAGCTTTTGGGTTGGTGGAAGTAGTAGCTCAGTGAGTTAACATATCCTAGAGATTTTACTACTTGATAGTTAAAAAGAAGTTAGGCCAGAAACTTTTTTTTTTTTTTTTTTTTTTTTTAAAGAGACAGGACTCTATCTGTAGCCCTGGCTGTTTTGGGACTCTCTTTGTAGATCAGGTTGGCCTTGATTTCAGAGATCTGCCTGCTTCTGTTGAGATTAAAGGCATGCACCACTACACCCAGCAATAAATGACTATTAAGGTGACTACAGATAGCCAAAGATGACCTGCAACATTTCAATATCATGGAGTTATAATCTTTTAGTCTGTGGGATCTTAACAGAGACAGGCTTTTCCAGGGAAGTGCATGTCCCAATACTTAGAGACACTGGGGATATCCCACAAACTCTTGTGCCTTTTTCAGCCCCTCACGCCCATAATTTTTAACACACACCTCAGCCTTTTGCTCTGATAAGCTTCCCATGTTTCCTCTTCACCACCACGTTGCTCTCAGTGGGCAGAGTCACATGCTCTGGGACTTAGGTTATTTGAAGAACTATTCCTCACCACAAGGAGCACTGAAACGGAACAGGAAATGGTGGACAGGAACAGGCACGCCTCAGCTGAAAATGAATGCTGGAACTTTCCACCAAAAATACTTTCCATAGTTCACTTTCTTTAGTTTTGATGACTACTCCAACTTTGAATCATTTTAGCCAGATGCCTCTGATTGACCAGGAAAGCAAATAAACAAACTTTCACATGGCCCTTTAGGAGTGCTGGGTTTCTCTTTCTTTCATTCTTTCTTCTACCCCCCATCTCTATTACTCTCCTCCTTTTCCTCTGTAGGGAAGCATAGAAAAGGGTCATTCTGACTCAAACTGAGGAAAAGGAGTTTGGAATGCATCATATAATTATGGATATTCTGAGGTTCTTATTTCATAAGCTTAGTAGAGAAAAACTGGAGGGAAAAAGAAGGGAATTAGCGTTTAGGAAGCTCTTAACATTCAGCAAGGAGCTTGAGCCTTGGAGTCCCATCTAACTCCCATAGCTGTCTTATGTATTTCTCTCTGCTGTCTGTCTTTCTACTTAGTAAGCCAGAAAACAGTTTAATTGTGTGTGCACGTGCCCACATGCTTGAGGTCTGAGGGACAGCTTTGGGAGTGTTGGTTCCTTCATTTCCACCCCATGGAGGCAGAGTTTCTTATGTTTCTGTTGATGCAGCCACTGCTTTCCATCTCACTGTACAAGTACTGGGACCAAAGAATGCCAAACACCTGGCTTTTCATGTGGGTTCTGGGAACCAAATTCAGGTCCTAAGGCATGGTGGCAGGTTCTTTTACCTTCTGACCCATGTAATTGGCTCTTCTATGGAATTTTCTTTTGATATTTATTCTTATTTTATGGATGTTGTTGAACTTTGGTCCTCTATAAGAGTGGTCAGTACTAACTACTGAGCCATCTCTCCAGCCCCACTTCTATGGAATCTTAAGAGCTTCATTACGTTAATATAAACAAAAATATTCAAGAAGAAAATCTGTTAGATATCTATACCAGTCGTTTCTAGTTATACTTGTGTTATCTATTTTAATGAAGATAATAGGGTGTGTAATAGTTTTTAGGCAGCTCCTAAATGTAAATGGATTGACAATTTTACCCAGCTCAGAGGATCAGACTTCAGGGCTCCCATGAGACAACACATTTAAAACGGTTGTTGGTGCCCCTTCGGTCTTATTTTAGCCAGGCAAGGCAAACCGCTATGAAGGAGATAAAAGAAAAAAGCTACAGTACTGTGGGTCCGGCTCTTCAGACTATGCCAGAAGAGAAGGGGTCGCGGAAGTTAAATGATACTCTGGTAGTTATTTTGGGTTGGTTTCAATTCTGCATTCTCCACTTTTTGTTTCTAGACAAAGTGTGACAGATAGAGCCCTTTGTGAATCCCAGGAAAAACTGGACAAACCTAAGAAGTTTGGGGATTGGGAAAAGAACGCATTTCTCACAGTGAGCCCCACACAGTAAAAAGTCTTTGCTACATGGGCAGATGACCTTCTCACTTGGCCTTAGAGACAGAAGCTCGCCTGACAGAATAAAAAGGGACGAAGGTATATTTTAGTTGGAAGTAATGCCTTGACTATCTCCACCATGCCAGCAAATAAAAGTCGAGAATCCAGCTTGGTCAGAGGCCAGGATAGGAGCCATCAATATATGAAAAATGACTTGAACCTCACGGTTCTTGGAGAAGACTGGTTGACTACATGTACGCTTAAGGGCCATAACTCATCTGTAGCACACGCTATTTATGGATGTCCATGCTTCTGAGGTTTCGCCTTACATAAACCCTGCTTAGCTGCAAAAGCCAGACCATATGGGAACTGAAGACACCCCGCACTGCCTCTTTAAATGTCCTTCTAGTTTCTTTACTCGATGTTCTCCAGCTCCTCTGAGCCACGTAACGCTTTGCGTTACTAAGATATGCTCCACATTTCTATTTTGGGTTCTTTTTGCGAGTGTGGTGAAACTGGAAGACCCTGAATTTGGCGGGCGGCTTCTTTTAGCCCGCAGCACAGCTGCCAGTGGGCGCACTTCCTGCCGGGAGGTGGGCGGGGCAGACACCTCCTCCCTCAAGCCCCGCCCATCCCAGTGCCCCGCCCTCCCCACCCCTCCCTGCGGGCGAGGCTCCGCGGGGGCGGGGCTGCGAGCCGTGGGCGGCGTGGCGCTGCTAGCTGGGCGCAGGGCCGGGGGTGCCGGGGATCGCCGCGGTTTAGCGCGCGGAGCTGCCGTGTGCCTTGAGGGCGAGAGAAGCATCGGGCGGCGGCGACCCCCACCGGCTGGTGCAGGGCCTCGGGCCGAGTGGGGCCGAGCGCTGCGCGGGGAAGCGGCGGCGGCGGGTCCCGAGCGCTACGCGCCATGGCGGGCGGGCCCCCCAAGGCCCTGCCGTCCACGGGGCCCCACTCCCTGCGCGACATGCCGCACCCGCTGGCCGGCTCCAGCAGTGAGGAGGCCATGGGAGGCGACAGCACGCCCAGCCCGGACCTTCTGATGGCCCGCAGCTTCGGTGACAAGGTGGGGTGCTCGGGTCTGGGGACTCCTGGGGCGGAGAGAGGAGGGATGATGGATCCAGGGCTACCCCCTGACACCGGGCCTCGCTCACCCTAGCTCCCCCTTTCCGGGGATCAGGCGTGCTCTGGTCCCTAGAGCCCTTGGCCAAAGCACGTCCTCTCTCTGCCCCCTCGGGGTCGCAGCTGCAGGCTGAGTGGCCAGAGGGCATGTGTTTCTCTGGCTGTGGCTGGCCCAGAGCGCGGGTGACAGCTGGTGGGGAGGGGTTCAGGTTGCAGCATGCATGTGGGGGCCCCGGGTGCTGCGGTGCTTGGCCCTTGTGTCCTGGGAAGGGGGTCCCTCGCCCTTCTAGGTGCATTCCTTGAAGAGGACTGCGGAATAGGAATAACTTGTTGGCGCTTCCAGTTTCGCCGTACTGCAAAGAAGCAATAGTTAATGGCTAATGGCTTTCCGGGGTGGGACTGAGCAGCTTTGCTCTTCTTCTCCCCAGTCGGTCATGTGGGGAGTGATCTTTGTTTAGGTTTGCTGTTTGCCCCAGGAGTCACCTGACTCCGACCTCAGCTGCGGCGGGAGGAGAGTCTTGCTGTGGTTTTCTGTCTAGGGCTTCATTCACCTCCTTTAGCGGACCACATTGATTAGGTTTGGCAGTGGCAGGTTTTGTGGTTGACGGAAAGCAAACTTGCCCTTTGACCTTCTTTGTGCATAGGGAGGTTCTTGGTTGTGGAGCTACACTACCATGCTGCTGCTTTGAGAGACAGCAAAGTCCAGTGAGGAGGAAGAGGCAATATCTCTCCCTGCCCCCCCCACCCCCATCGCAATTTCAGCTGTGACCAGGATTTGAGCAGTGATGTGCACTCCTGCCACCACTTAGTCATGAGTTATAGACATTCCAGTTGTTCTTAGCCCTTGAGATCAGGGTTTCTTCCTCCTGCTCTAAAATACTAAATGACTTCCTCCTTTCCTCAATATTAATGGAATTGAGAGACTTAACTTTCCTTCTTCCCTTAGAGGGCATATGCAAGGGTAAAAATGTGCATGGGAGAGTGTGACTTGATAGCCTTCAGAATGACCAGGGAGTGATACACATTTGTAGAGTATAAGCTAATGAAATTGATGGATTGAACGGCTCAAAATGTGTTCTTGCATGTGTGCCTATACCTCTGTGGTTGTTTTAATAGATTTTAGATTATATGAAAACATAGGAAGCTTGAAAACCCTTTGCTTATGTTTGACATTCAAAAAAGTGATTGTTGAATGTCTGAATGATAATTTGTTTTTTCTTATTAGCAGAAAAATCAATTTTTGATGGATGTTGAACGAGAACTAAAGTTAAACCTTTAATTGTTGTCTTGGTTCTATGTAGGAAATGGAATTATTTTCTTACTGCTGTGTAACAAATTACCCAAGAATTTAGCACCTGAAAATGTTGTCTATGAGTCAGAAACCTGGGAGGTTCTTCGTCAAACCTTTAGGAGGCTGCCATCATCAAAGGCACGATTGGGAGGGTCTAACCTCAATTCTTGACTTACTCATGTGATTCCTCATAGACTACAACGTAGTAACTGGTTTCTGCCAGAGAACGTGATTCAAGCCAGCCAGGACTCCAACCAGCCCTGTATATGCTGATCACCAAATTGACATACTTCTGCTGTACTCTGTTGGTCACAGAGGAACACTGGTACATGGGAAGAGAATGTGAATCCTAGAGGATGCTAGGAAATGGAGATCATTGTGACTGTCTTGGAGCCTGGCTTCTACAGTGTATGTGTTGTGTGTTGCCAAGTACTCTACCACTGAGGTATATCCCTTGCTTAATTACAGATGTTTTAAATATTTACTTATATGCTCCACTCTTGGATAGTTAATTCAGAAGTGCAGCCATTTTACTACTAAGTACTCTGGGAAGGTAAGTTCTCTTTCCCACTAAGATTGGCAGGATGTGAGGCCCATTCTAAGTATGGACTGTTTCCTCCACAGGATCTTTTCTTTGAGAGATTCTTAAAGGCACTGTTATTAATTATTCAGCATTTAATAAGTATCCTTACAACTGTGGGGGAACATCTAAATGACACAAGTCTCAAGGGCCTGATTAACAATCAGCTACTTTTCCTTAGAGGCTAAACATTGGTGTTTCTTTCTCATTGGGAGTAATATTCTCTTGTCTTGGCATATGTGTGTCCTCATACATTTCTTCAAAAAAAGAGGCAGGTGTGTGTGTGTAAGTTTGGGTGTGTGTTTCTGTGTAAATGGACTTGGTGTGTGTGCAGGTTCCTTCAGAGACCAGAAGAGGGTGTTGGTTTACCTGGAGCTGGAGTTACAGGCTCTGTGACCTCCTGACAGGGGTGCTGGTAGGTGAACTCTGGAAGAGCAGGGAGTACTCTTACCTGCAGAGCCATCTCTCTAACCCCCCCTCCCCATATTTGTAAAGAGAAGCTAGCAAGCCCCAGAAGTGAGGGCAGTGGAAGGGAAGCTCCCTTTGCCCATGTTTGCCTTGTTTGGGCAGCATGTGTGTTGTTGGAGGTAAAGTCAGGTGCTGTGATCAGCCTTTTGAGAAGCAGCCTTTCCCTGCCTAGGGATTTAGGGTTGGTTCTGGGTTCTTGGGTGAAGAGCATGAAGGTTTTGACGGGCTGAACATAGTGCCAGGTTATTGCACAGAGGGCCAGGTTACTGTAGAGTAGGGAATTGCTTTCTCTGGCTTCAGATGGTGTAATCAACAGTGTACTGACGCTTTTGCATGGCCCCTTTGGTTCTGGGGTAGGAAAGAACGTGGTGGATGCACCATCTATCAGCTTCTCACATTCTGCAAATTGTGGTACAATGGGAAGAATTCTTTTTGTCCACCAAGGGCTGGATGGGTGAATTCTAATGCTAGCTACCCTCAGGCCTTATATCACTTCATTTTTTCCTCTCCCTAAAATATAAATAAGTAAAACCACTTGACATATTTCCCTTCTTTTTGACTTTTGTACACATCCTCTGAGCAGTGTCTTCTGTGACCCAGCCTCCACTGGAGTGTGCATTCTGAAACTGAATACTTGACCCCTTCCAACCCTCAGTCTTTGGTTAACACTTCACCCCACATCCTATCCTCTTCGCCACCCACTTCCTGACCCTTCCTGCCACCAGGGTGTCTCTTGCTTTTACATTTCAACCACTGGGTGTGGGAATCCATCTACCCTTTTGTCTTTGATTCCTTTTTTTTTTTTTTCTTTAATCTTTAATCTTTAAACCTAATGCTATATACTGAATTCTAGGACAGAACAGCCAGGAGACCCTGTCTTAAAACAAACAAAATACGATAAAACCCGACAACTAATAATAAATGCATATTTTAAAGAAAGCTGATTAACACAGTGGATCAAGTAAGCAGTTCTCAACTCAGTAGCCCGGGAGTTCAACTTTACCTTCTTCCTGCTCAAGCCCCTGGAATGTCCCCCTGGTGCTCAAAGTAAAGGCCAGTGTTGTCAGGGGTCCTTCCAGGCCGGCATGGTTTGACCCTTCCGCTGACCCCTCCGGGCTGTCCCCTGACCCCTCCTGCCTTCTTCAGGCCTCTGCTCACTGTGCCCTCCACCTGACATTTACTGCAGCCGTTTGCCACCTCCCTCAATTCCTTAAGTCTATTAGAACCTCAGCTTCTCATCAAGTCCTACCCAGGTCCAGCTCCCAACAGCCAGTGGCCCCGAAGCCCCCTTCCCACCCTGCTTTCTTCCTTCCATAGCATCTGTTGCAGAACAGTGCATACTCGGACAACAGGGGTCTTGCTGGTTTAGTGAAAACTCTTGTCTTCCTCCCTCAAATATTTTCTGAATGAACAAAAAGAGTGAAGTGTGCCTCCAAGGAGCAGAGTGGGGATGTTGCTCAATTGGTTGGGTGCTTGCCTAACATGTCCTCAGCCTGGAGTTCAATCCCCAGCACAGCTCGAGCAGGGCATGATGGAGGTACACACCTGCAATGCTTTGGGAGGGGAGGCAGATGAATCAGGAATTTAAGGTCACCCACAGCTATGCAGAGAGTTCAAGGTCAGCCTGTCTTTAAAAATGCTAGGGAATAGAGTTTGGGGAGATGGCTCTGCTCATAAAGTGCCTGCCATGCAAGCATAAAGACTTGAGTTTGGGTCCCCTGTGTCCATGTAAAGCGCAGTTGCACACATCATTACCTCTGGGAGCAGGACAGGAGTATTTTTGGGAAACATAATCAGTCTAGCCAAAATGGTTCAGCAAGAGACTCTGTCTTGCTGGATTTGATAGAGCACACCTTTAATCCCAGCACCTTGGAGGCAGAGACTGGTGTTATCTGTGAGCTAGAGGACAAGGGTGGGAGGTTGGCGTGATTGAGGACACCTGCTGTTGACCTCTGTCCTCCACACATAGTTGCACACACAAAACTGTGCATACATCATGATGTCATGTTTGCCTTTTTTTTTTTTTTTTTGGAGACAGAGTCTTGCTATGTAGATCTGTCTGACTGGCCTTGAACTCACAGAGCTATGCCTGCCTCTGCTTCCTATGTTGGTATTAAAGGTGTGGCTCACCACACCTGGATATTATTATTAGTCTCTCCCCCATCCCCATGTGTGTACCTGCATGTGTGTGTGTGTGTGTGTGTGTGTGCATGTCTGCCTACGTGTGTGTTGTGTGTGTGTGTGTGTGTGTGTGTGTGTGTAGGTAGGTAGATCAAAGAACAACTTTTGTTTTTTGACTCCAGTATCCCTTGACTTGTTGAGAAAGGGTTTCTTGTTTCTGTGTTGCTACTTAATCCAGGCTGGCCAACCTGTGAGCTTCTGGGCTGTTCTTCTGTCTCCACCTCCCATGTGGAGGTAGGAGTGCTTTGACTAAAGCTGGACAGCACCAGGCTTTCTTATGTGGGCTCCTGGGGATTTAGTTGAGGTTGTCAGCTTGCACAGCAAGCACTTTTACCCTCGGTTGGCCCTTAGTTAAGTTCTTTTAAAAGGACATAAAACTTACTTAAAAAGCAAGCAGGTCATATGAAAATGTACGAGCTTCATT